TAAGGAATTATTATTGATATATGAGGGATTTATCCTTATTATATGACAGTTTATTATTAAAAATTTATAAAAAATTTATCATTGATACAGACAAATATAATAAACTAACCATAGTACAAAATATAATAAATCTTAAGTTGTTTGTTTGGTTTGATTTTATAACATGACTATATCTGCAAAAGTTCTAAAGATTAAAAGTATACTTTCATTAGCCTAAAATTTAATATTATTTTAATTCAAAATTTATTTTTAAAATAAATAAAATAGTCTTATATTATTACTTTGAGTCTTGACCTAAAAAAATTTTAAGTTGCACACAATGTGATCAAATGCTTATGCATAACACTCATAATTTTTTATAGATAATTATTCAGTGCATATTAACTAAAATAAGAATAAAATTGAAAAAGAAAATTCTAAAAAGCTGAAAGTGCAAAATATCTTATATTTTAGAAAAATAATAACTTGTAATAATGTCTTGCATTATAAAGGAGGGAGTACCTATTTTAAGTGGCACTTTGAAATTATCTCCTTTTCCTTGACTCTTCATTTTCTTTTCATTTTTCGTCTCAACAATTATCCATTGAATTAAATTTGAATTGATAAGGTATCTGATTCACTTGGCAAATACCTTGGAACATAAATGGATGTTAGGAGTGATAAGCGTATCCTTTATGGATAGATTTTGGAATCTATGGATTGAAGAATCACTTCATGGAAAGCCAAATTGCTCTCTCAAGCCTATAGGCTCACTTTAATTTTGTTCTATTTGCTTCTAATTTTTATCTACCCCTCTTGCATTAGGTTGCCAAAAAAAAAAAAAACTTTGTTGCACAATTGATGCTAAACTTACAGATTTCTTTTGGGGTTTTGGCATTGACAGGGAAAAAAAAAAATACATCTTACAAAAAAGAATTTGCTTTTACTCCATTAGATCGAGGAGGTCTTGGCATTAATCAACTTCTGAGATTAAAGCAAAGTTGGCAGATAATATCCACTGATACAAGTTCTTTGTTGGCCAACACTTTGACGCTCAGGTGCTTTGACTCATCAAGCAAATGCTATCTCAAAAAGCCACACAATGCATCTTGGTTTTGGAAAGGAATTGTAGAATCCAAAGACATCATTCTCAACCAGCTGTCTTGGCAAGTTGGTTCTGGTTCCAGCATACCTCTTCACCATAAATTTTGGTGGAAGGCTATTAATGGGGCTGTAGCACAGCATCCCTAAATCAAATGAGTTTCAGACTTTGTGACTCATTCCTCATTTGCCGGGTCATCTAGATGTTGGAATGAAAAGCTTCTTTTTCATATTTATAGCATCAATGATGCTCAAGCTATTCAAAAGATTCCTTTTCCATTATTCCATGATATTGATAAACTAATTTGGAAAGGCAATTCATATGGTTCTTATCTTGTTAAAAGTGGTTTTCTTCAAAGGTTAAGGCCATAGTCAACTGAAGCAGATAATTCTTTTTGGAAGATTCATTTGCCTCAAAAATAACTCTTGTTTATTTGGAAATTGATTCACTCAGCCCTTTCTCTAGGCGATGTCCACCAACATCATCACCTAAAGGTGCAATCTCAATGCTCTTTTGGTTTTATGGACTCTGAATCTATATCTCATCTTTTTGATGGATGCAGTTATGTGAAATCTATTTGATATAAAGCCTTGTCTATTCAATCTTCTTTCTTTCTTTGAAGAAGTAGGTTTGTCTATAGGTGGATCGTCTCCACTCTTTTGCAGCTGCATAATGATGATTTAAACCTTCAACTAGGAGGTATAATTATTTTACTTAATCTAATGTGGGGGAAAAGAAATCTAGCTTTTCTGAGGGCATCATATCACCTCCTGTGGAGTTGATAAAAGAGTTTCATCAGACCTATTTTTATTTGTTAAATGTTCGTCAGTGGTCCCATCAAGATAAACCACAACATCCTCCTTCTCACTAAATGATGGTGCTGGAATAACCTTTGGTTTGGAATGTTAGAATGAGGAGATATAAATCTAATGGAATTGCTCTTTGATTAGTTTTGTTTTATTGCAATTTTGAACTTTTGCACAGCATCAAGTGGAAACTTTCGTTCCCCACACATTCCCAATGCTTCAACTTGCTTTGTATTCGGGCTATTTTAACATAGATCAAGGGTTATCTTCATGACACTCCCTCTGTGCATAGTAGCATCTTCATCCATTTATTTTCATCAGAACGTTATATGCTCCAACTTCTAGTGCATGGCATCAACAAGCTCGTCCATTCATTAGGCACAATTAAGTTTAATATTTCTCACGATCTTCCTCTTTTCCTGCCTCATTGTTCTTTATACTTTTTAAGGAAAACATAATCTTTAATTCTTATAGTTTCATTGGCTTTTGTTTTTAATCCCTATAATTTTTTTTCTAATATTTTCAGTCCTTATAAGAACTAAAAATACTAAAAAAAGTTAAAACTATTAAGATTTCAAAAACAAAGGTCACCTAATCTTTCTGAAACTAAGAACTGAAAATACTAAAAAAAAAAAAAACTATAGAGACTAGAAACAAAACCTAATAAAACTATATGAATTAATGATTATGTTTCCCAACTTTTTAACTACTCATGTATTGTAAAATATTGTTTCTTACTGTTATTATTGATCTTTTTATAAAAAAAAAGTTGAATTGATAAGGTTTAATATTTTATAAATTGTGGCCAGAAAAAATACATTATAAAAATATATTTATAATACTATCGAAAATGGATAAACATCTCTGAGCAGTAAAGTTCCTTCAATACCTTGATGTATTGATATAGGTCAAAATCATACTCAAGTTGTTGGCCATAGGTAGGAAACTTAAGCTTGATTAGTGTCAAAGGATACTATTTTTAAGAACTATTTCGGCACATTGATATGATAGACCGGCAACTTTTTAAGATTAAACAAGCTTGTCCTACTAACAAGCAAGGCTCAACTTTTTAAGATTAAACAAGCTTGTCCTACTAACAAGCAAGGCTCAAATTAATCCACTATAAAGCACTGGTTACAAAGGAATAAACTTGCATTAAGTACTTCCCTAAGTAATTATTTATTTTTCACAGAAATAATTTGATACAAAGAACCCAATGTCTCTTTAACTCACATGTAAGGGGGGGAATCAATTATTTTCAACTACAATTGAAATGCATAAATTTATCTCATACATACGAATCCACTTCTTTTTCAAACCTATTTTATTAATCTATTTCATTTCTTAATATATATATATATATATATACCAAGAGCTCTCTTCTCTTAAACAATGTGGGACTTGTCATTTTGACACATCACTTTAAATTTTACGACACAAGTATTTGTTAATGACGCACTATATTGGTTGTTTTTGTAAAAATTGTAGTGGTCTGCATCGTGATTTTTTATAACCTTTGATTTTGTTGGAGAATAATTTAGGAGCTACTTAGTTTGTGAAAAAGAAGGTAATAGGAAACAAAAATGGAATGATAAAGAATGGGGAAAAAATGAAATGATGATAACTAGCAATTTATTTGGAAGGATATACGTGGTGTATGTTAAGTCTTCCATTAGCAAAAAATTTATTTATTAAAGATTTATTTGACAAAAATCAGCTATTATAATAAAAATTGTACTTGAATACATATTTTCAAAAAAATTTAATAAAAAATATTTAGATTATATATATTGAAAAGTGCTTTTAAATATAGTATTATCATTTTACAAAATATGGCGTTAGAAAAAGCTATTATATTTTCTATTAAAATGTCAAAATTGTTCCAAATAAGTAGTAAGGGCAGAAATCATTCATGACTTGTGTCTGTGTGTGTGAGATTTCGTGATGTTTTCTTTTTCCAATTTCTAGAAGCAATATGGTCTCTTCTCATTTATACATTACTATTTTTTTATTTTACGCATATTATTTAAAGAATATTTTATTGTTTCTAAATCTCTTAAATATTATGTTGTATACTCATTCTTATTTTATTCTCTTTTTGTTTCTATTTTTTCTTTATGGAGATATTTCAAATAAAGAATAAATTATTTTGATTTCTTCTTAATTTTATTAAAAAATTATGGTTTCACTTTGGTTTTAGCAGAAGGTGCCTTATATTTTATAATAATAACACAAATATTTAAAAATAAAATTTTCTATATAATGTTAATGTTTCACAGAAGCCATAAGTTATGTTTTTTCATCGAATATAACGGTTATATTCATAAATACACGTGTAATATAAAAAAAAATCGCAAATTCAGGCATTTAAAAGGGTAACCCACTCGGGTAAAAAAAAAAAAGAACAAAGAAAAAAGAAAAGAAAAGAAAGGGCAACCCACAATGTAAGCAGGACTTTTCATGCATTGGAATGTTACTCCGAAAATAATAAACATTAAAAAGAGGTTAATACCCACTAATTAACCCGTTCGCAATCATGGTGCGTTTAAATTAATGAGAATTTGGATTTGTTAAATCTAAATTCATTTTAAATTTCTTTTATACCTTAATCATTTGAAATTCTCATTATTTGAAACACATGAGTCTTTTTATGTTTTTTACCATTCATACTTCTATGATTGACTATCCTATTTTTTTTTGTCATCACTTGTTGATTTAAAACAATAAATAAACTTATTATTTTTAATTTTTTATTTTCATTTTAAATTTCAACTAATCTCTTTTCTTCATTTAAAATTTTTTAAATAACTCAAATAAATAATCTTAAATAGTGAAATTTAAAATGAAAGATTTCAAATCTAAAATCCAAATATAAATCCAAATATCAATCCATTCATCCAAACATTAACTCACATAATTTTAAATTTGAGATTCCATTAAATTGTTATGACTTCTTATTGCTATTAATTACCATCTTTATTTCAGATAAAAGTAAAGATATTCATATTTCACAAACAAGTTCCAACATATATAATTTAAACCAACCAATAAAATCACAAAATGTCATTTTCATGAAGGATGATCAATCTTATAAATTGAGGTCTGGCCTGGCTTGGCTCTTAATCATTCAACAAGAAAATAATCCAAAGAGTGGGAAAATCTAAGATGGACATTGGGAATGGTGTTTAAGTAAAAATGATTAGTATGACTGTGCTTATTACCTTTTTAACAATTCATCAAGTTCAGTGTTGGCCGGCCCAATCTGCAGAAATTCCTATTTCTTCTTCAGTCAATCCCCTCTCTTCGGATCTTTCTGGTATGGTACATCCACCTCCTCCACAACTTCCATGGAATCCTAAACCTACTCATATTCCTATTCTTCCTCGTCTTCCTCCATGGCGTCCTCCTTGTAAACCTAACCCTACGCCTCCTCCCATATGGCGTCCTCGTGTTCCTATTCCTCGTTTTCCCTCGCTTCCTCTTCCTGATCCTGTTGTTGAAGTTTCTAAAGATGTCGAAGCTCCTTATCCAGCACACCTGCAGCCTGAAGCATTCATTCATATTTCTTCTTCGGATGATGTTGATCATTCCACTTCTCGCCAAGGGATCGCCAGAGCAATAAGGAGAGGTACCAATAGTACTCTCTTCAACTTTAAGTGCACGTTTGGTTGTTGGAAAGAAATGAAATAGGATGGAATAATAATGAGTTCACAGAGAATAAAAAAGATTAAAATAAGGTCATGGAATGATAGAGAGGTTGAAATGAGGATTTATAAGAATAATGTCATCAATTAACCCCCCATTAATCCAATCTCTCCATCCCTCCATGATCTTATTTTAGGACAATTTGTTCTCTGTCAACTCATTCCATTCCATTCCTTTTCTTTTCAATAATCAAATGAGTCCTGACTCTTAATTAAGTTATCTATAAACAGACTTATAGAATCATATGGGACTTTATTTGAGAGCCAATTGTAAATATCACAAGCTTCAATCTACATAAAAGCATTCAGTTTCTTCTATTCTTCTGAATTGATATGGGACTTTATTCAAGTTTATAGATCTAATTGCAACCATTTTCATGGTTTGAATTAATGTGAGCTTGAATATTTGATCAGGAACAACAAATTTCAATAATGAGGTGATTGGGAAGAAGGTTGAGGAAGCAGCCATGGAAGTTCAGAAAGCGATCCCTTCTGCGACAATAATTGTGAAGAAGAAATCAATGGTTCTACAAGACAAAGGTCGAGAGGCCACAGTGATTTTGTTCACCGACAACAATGACATTGTTACTAGCGTTTGGGTGTTGGTGAAAAGAATTCCTAAAAAAAAATTGATCATAGTCTGTTTGTGTTTTAAGGGGATGGAGAAATAGAATAAGGCTATAAAACTTATATACCTAGAATTATACATCTAATATACTTTTATTCAATTAAATAAAGACAAGTGAATTTTAGTATGTTAATAACATTAATTAGTCAGAGTCCAATGTGGCTTAGTTGGAAGATATACAGTTATGGATATATACGTTCGTGTGTTGGGGGGGGGGTTGTTGTTGGTCTGTATTTTGGCTTCTATGTGGCTCCCGGTATTTCATATTAATATACTTATTGTGGCTAAAAGAATGATGGATTTACTGAGAAAAACCAAACACGTAGAAGGTGATCTTTCTATTATTCATGATTCTCACAACAATTATTACATATTGTATAAACTATGTTCATTCATGAATCATGAATGCTTCCACCATGCCATAAGTTGTCTCGTTTTGAAGACATCACAAATATCCACCAAACCGGTCAAGGCTCAATTGCAATATGTAGACAACGTGTTCCAAATTAGCGATATTCCTCCAATCACAAGCCCCTATCATTGACGATCGACCACCACAACTTGTTTTCCAACGTTACGGCCACGGAAGAGACCAACCAGGGCTGAAGGGGCTTTCTCAATGCCTTCAACAACGTCTTCCACATAAACAATCTTGCCCTCTTTGATCAATGGAATCACCATCTCCAAGAACTTTGGGTAAAGATGGTAATGATCAAATACCACGAAACCCACCATCCGAATCCGTTTGATCACAAGATGCATCAGATTGTGTACACCTTCAGGCTCTTCAAGGTTGTACTGTGAAATCATTCCGCAAACTGCGATTCTGCCATGGATCTTCATGTTCAGTAACACTGCATCCAGCATCTTCCCTCCAACGTTATCAAAGTATATATCAATACCCTCTGGGAAATGCCTGAGAGATAAGCACGTGATAAAATAATGATTTATGGTAAAATCAACAAATAAAATAAAGAAATGTTAACATTAACAAAATTTCATGTGTTTATCTTTTAATGTTAGATGAATAGATTAAACATGGTATAGTTGAAAATTTTGTAGATTTATGTATATAAAAATATGGAACAAGCTCTACTACGTGCACGGCTTAGGATTTATCCAACCTGGGCCTTTTCGCACACCCAGATTGTATAAATCAATTTTTATTAACTTTATACAAACTCCAACCAGTCATTAATTTATTTAATCTGAATGGAATGGAATGAGACAAATCGAATTACTAGTCAGTTGGGTGTAACTTCATGATCTTCCATTAAATCTCACCCTTTATTTTCTGTTTTACATAGTGAATGTGGGGGACAGGAAGCAGGACAAAAAAGAACAGGGTAACTGGCAATTATACGAAAACCAGGTGCAACTCAAGAAGAGGGAAATTCCAGAATCTCAAGCCACAGGGACGCCAATGACAGTAAGATTTGAACAGTACTGATTCAACTCAAACTCAAATGGATCCCAAACCTTCACTTAAACAAGATAACCACTAACATTCTGATTTTTGAGCAAATCGCAACTGCTATGATGAGAAAACAGATAACCACAAACCTTTTCAAAGCAGTATCCAAGTTGGTTTCTTCTTTGTAGTTGAAAGCATCATCAAATCCAAACTTGCTCTTGAGCAAGTCAACCTGTTTGGCAAAATTGATCAAGGGATGGAACAATAACAAGTAACTTTAGAAAGGTAATACATATTAGTGATGCACTTACTGAGTTCTACACAAATTGAGAATATATGAAGCAGTTTGAAAATTGATTAGTCTCGCATTTTACAAAAGTATATGCTTTTGCATTCAGTGGCTAGACTACATTACAATTAAGTACAAAGCTTTCAAGTTATCTTTACTTGCCTTTTCTTTGCTTCCTGCACTTCCAACAACATAACAACCCATCAACTTAGCGAATTGCCCAACAAGCTGACCTACAGCTCCAGATGCAGCTGATACAAATACAGTCTCCCCTTTCTTTGGGGCACAAATCTCATAAAATCCAGCATAAGCAGTCACACCAGGCATACCTGCATTTAATTCTTATGTTGTTACTCAGTGAAGCCACAAGAAATAAGCAGAATCAAACGTAAAACATAGATAAATTGTTCTTTCCCATCAATAAATATACTCCTATTCTACTTCAACTCCCTCCATCAAATATAGATTTAATATGAAACAATAAAAGGGGTAAGTGGTGCGCACATGATAGAAATCAGCAGAGATTACTAGATATGTATGTTCTCAACAAGTAAAAAGATTATATGGATGCAGTTCAAGTCCCTGATTCTTTAAAAGAACTTCAGATATCCAAGAGCACCCCGGCAAAAACACCCAAGTACTTGAATGCGCAAATGGGCTTCCTTCACCCCCAAAAAAGGTGAAAAAAATGGCTGAGTAAAAGATACAATTGGTCATGATTCATTTTGGTCAAACCAACGCATTCAAACAAAGTAACAGTCACAATGGCATGCAAGAAAATGAACCATGCCTTGCAAAAATACTCTACCTTGTTTGTGAAGTTACAGTCACAATGGCATTGAAATGACTATACGTAACAGTCACCATGATTATTTAGTTATTTCGTGGTGCCTAGTCGAAATAGCAACAGCACTCATCTGGAAAACGATGTACACGCATGGCACACACAAAGGGGAAAAACAGCTTACCAAGTATGCCAGTATAATAGGAAAGAGGCAGATCTGTGTGCTGTATCTTAAACAGAGACTCTGGTGAACTGATCACACTATATTCTTCCCACCCAGTTATTCCCCAGACTAAATCACCTTCTCTGAAGTTTTGATGCCCAGAATCAATAACTTTTGAAACTCCAAATCCGCTTATTGGCTGTGAAGTTATAACAAAAACATCAGTAGTTACACTAAACAGGGTAGCCTATAAACTTTAACCATCCATTCTAAATATAAGCTTTCAAGCCATCAAATCTGACAATCACTTGTCTAAAATAGTTATCTACTGTCTATTATCCCGATTCAAGAAATCGAACTGGATAAAGTCACAAACATGCATTGAACAGTACGGTATATGTTATATACAACGCCATTTGTTTAAAACTTTCTGCATAATACAAAGCAATTAATTTTTAAACAAAATTTTAAACATACAATAAAATATCCATGACAAATTATTTATAAAAGCATTAAACTAAACTAACTTATGTTGTGTTTGAATTAATGAAGACTTGTATTTTGCATCTTGATTTGAGCCAAATCTTTCATTTGAATTTCTATAGATTGATTCAAATCTAAATTCATTTCTTATTATAATTCTTTTATAATTTCAAATTTCCTGCACCTAATTATTTGAAATTCCAATCACTCCAACTTTCTTTGCTCTTTTTGTATTTTCACTTTTAATGTCAATCATTTTCACATCTTCCCTCATTTTCCGTTTTTGTCTCTCACTGATTGAAAAAATAAATGTTAGTTCACCATTCTCAATCTTTTATCTATTTGCACTTCGTCTCTCTTCTTCCTTTGAAATTTTTTATACTATTCAAAGAAAGAATTTTGAATGCCAGATTTAAAATCTAAAATCCAAATTCAAATTTAATGATCTAAATGCTGACTTAGAGTTTTCACTGAAAGTAAACAAAGATCCTCATTTTTATTTACAGTACTAAGATTTTAATGTGTCTCAAAATGTATAAGACATTAGAGGGGGGAAATTCCTAACGAATATCACTGAATTCCTAGGATAAATCAACAGTTCAAAATGATAACAAATTAGTGAGGAAAAAAAACTATGAGCTTCGTTCCATTACCAGGCCCACGAAGAGGAACTAGTGTTCGATTGTTTTACGATCAACCATTTCAATTCCATACGAATAATTAAACATAATCCAAAGAGGAAAGGAGAGAGAAATGGGTAGAGAGCCCACCGAACCAGGCTGGAAGGAATCAACGTAAGATCGAATTAATGGTTTGGACATACGGCCACGCATGTAGGGGTCGCAAGAAAGGTAGAGATTCTTCACCAAGACGCCATTGGAACCTTCTGGAAGCTTCAATTTGATAGAGGAAGTGGTGAAGAGCATGTCGGACTCGCTGGGAAAGCCAGAGACGAAGTCCTTGAGTATCACCTGCTTGTTTTGGACATTGTTCGCCATCGCGACCTTCTGAATCGCCCTCGCTGCAACGAGCCTTCGAACAGAGAAACAGGCTATTTTACAACCACAGGCCACAGATGCTGGAGCTTTCCGTTATAATCTCTTCCGTCGTGAGGCAAGCCACTAAATGCATACATAACGCGTGGACTTTCAAAATGACGTCGATAATAAAATTTTGGAGATTTTTAAAAGGTTTTGGTTTTATTCCGTACTTTCATGAAATATATTTTCAGTCTTTTAATTTTAATATTACTAATATTAATTTTGATTTAAATGATTATTTATTTTACCGATAATTATTATTTTAAAAAAGTAAACTTAAACATGTTCATATTTGAATTTTTTTTTATTTGAATTTTCAAGATACTTCCACAACCGAGATATTCATGAGATTAATTTCTTAAAAAATTTGAAATTATTTGAGGAGTTATTCTCTCTAAAACAATATTCTCTATATACACCTTCAGTAATCAAATTCTAAAATAATGTTTGTCGTTTGTATTACACCCATTTGTTGAGAATATTTTATAAATATTTAAAAGTTTTATATATGAATTTTTTTAATGAAACTAACAATGTTATATTGAAATGATTGGAAGGCACTTTATAAAATTAAATGATTAGAATAAAATATTGGGTAAAGCTAAAAGATTAAAGGTATATTTTAATTAGTCTGAAATTTAATATTATTTTAATTCCGAATTTTATTTTTTAACATATAAAAATAGTCTTTTATTATTATTTTGACCTATAAAAGAATTTTTAATTGCAGACAATAATGTGATTAAATGCTTATTCAAAATTAACACTCATAATTTTTTATAGATAATTATTCAGTGCAAATTAACTAAAATAAGAATAAAATTGAAAAAAAAAATATTTCTCAAAAGCTGAGTGTACAAAGTATCTTATATTTTAAAAAAAAATAAAAACTTGTAGTAATGTCTTGCATTATATAGCAGGGAGTACCTATTTTAAGTGGCATTATCTCCTATTCCTTTACTTTTCATTTTCTTTTCATTTTTCGTCTCAACAAGCATCCATTGAATTAAATTTGAATTGATAAGATTTAATATTCTATAAATTGCGACAAAAAATATTTTATAAATTATATATATAATGTTATGAAAAATGGATAAACATCTCTAAGTAGTAAAGCTCCTTCAATACCTTCGTAGTGATATAGCTCAAAATCATACTCAAGTATTTGTTGATGATGTATTAAATTGAGTTGTTTTTGTGAAAATTGTGGTGCACTGCATCATGATTTCATATGAACTTTTGTTTGGTTGGAGAATAATTTAGGAGCTGTTTGGTTTGAAGTATGTTGTTGTAATAATCTTTAAATAATAAAATTCTTAATTACTTTACTCCCATATGTATGTTTTAATTATCAAAATATCTGGATATATGAATGCAAGCTTCAATATTCTCATGCCATAAAATTTGATATATTGGACAAAAATTATATAAATAATTGAATACATCAATGTTAAAAATTAACATGACTAGTTATTCAATTTATAATGCTAAAAATGTGATATCTAATTATTATTATTACTATTTCAATTATGATTATAGTTTTAATAAATTAACAATATTTTTAAAATATAAGAATAATATATTAAAGGGATAACATGGTCAAATAATGTGCCCGCTTGGTTTTACAACTTTTTATATTGAGAAAGTGCTTTCTTCCTTTTAAAAAGTGAGATGTTGTTTGGGTATCAATTATTATTCAAATTGACTTATGCAAAAGCATATTCAAATGAGGCTGAAAGTGAATTTGATCAATGAAAAAATCTGCAACTTTTAAAACTGAAAATTGATGTTATATATATTTAATGGGGAGAATAAATGTGCACATAATTTATATACATAATTGTTATATATATAAACTTTATATATTTTTTTATTCTTGTTACTTACCATGTCAAATTTCATTTTGTTTAAATTTTTATTGCATATATTTTTTAAACATTTTAATATGAAATTTAACAAATTACAAATCATGAAAATCAATCTTTTTTTAGTAATTATACATTTAAAAGAATTTTACATTATATAATCCAAATAATTTTTGTTTTAATAAATTAATTTTTTTTAAAAATATATTTAAACACAAATTTTTAACTTTTGGCTAATGGAAAACTAAGCAGGCCCAACATTTGACTTTTTAAATCTATTTTTAAAATATTTTCTCAAGTTACTTTTACAAATTTACATTCAAATCATTTTAGGAAGTACTTTACAAAAGTGCATTTCCCCTCTCTTATTTGGTAGAGTTATCAATTAGTGTCAAACCCGTAGGGCCAGCTTTTTTAAGTTCAAAAATAACTAGGGCTGAGCCTCTATTTTGAAAGAAAAAATTGTAATTCGAGCTTAAAAGAGCCAATCCTTTTAAGCCCTTTTATTTTTTTAAAAAATTATAATTAAAAAAATAAAAAATTAAATATATAACTAAAAGAAATAAACATATTAGACTCATTTGTCATTCCTTCATTCATTCATTAAGATTTAACTAATAATATTAGCCAAGTCTAATTTTTATTGGTATTAATTTTGATGTTGCTATTTAATATTAGACTTGAATGTTTAATTTTTTTTATTTATTGTGGTGTAAGTTGATTTAAATTTATTTTTTAAACTTAATTTTATGTATAATAGCTTTTTTTAGGATTATAAATATGTTTTTTAAAATTTTAAATTAAAAAAATAAAAAAAAGGGTTGAGGCCCTAGGGCCGGCCTTTCAGCTTTAAAAGCTAGGGTTGGGCCTTATAAAAAAAAACCTTGAAGCATGATTGAATTTATTAAGGTCAGCCCATTTAGACCCTAACCCGTCGAGAGCCGGTTCTAATTGACAGTTCTACTATTTGGTATTTAAATAACTTTCTACATCTCAAATGTTAAGAAGTACTTTTCAAATGTAAAATGTGAAATATACTTTCCAAATTTGTATCTTAAAATAATTCAAATGTAAAAATGTTCAATATGAAACCAAAATACGAAAAATAGGATTGGCCATAAAACCGATCAAATTAAATGCTAATTCCTGGTTATTCAGACTCTGTTCAATTCTCTTTGAATCTGCCGTCGTAATCAAATTATGTATTCTTAATCATACTATTAACTGTTTTGAACAAGAAAGACAACAATAATAACAAAAAAAAATTAAAATAATTATTTCAAATTAAAAAACAAGAATACAATTAAAAAAATTATAGAGGAAGAATATTATTTAAAAAATTAATTAGTAAACATTTTGAAATTAAAAAATGAAATACTGGAAACACATCTCAACCAATTAGCCGAAAACCTCTAGATCAAGTCTGAAAACCATTTTGAGGAAATGGAAAGAGAGAGGCACTAATTCTTTAAAATCACTATATGTATCAAATTCAAACAGTTAAGGAGACTTCTCCCTTCTTTTCCCTTTCTTGACTAAAAAACTTGTATGCAAAATTCAACAAAATGAGTTCCTTCCAAGCAAAAGCCCCTGATCATGTTGAGTCCTATGTATATAATGACTCATACTCGTATGCATATGAGTCATACAATTTCGTTCGTTGGACCTTCACCACTTGTTTTCCAACATTGATGCCATGAAAGAGGCCAGCGAGTGCGGAAGGGGCGTACTGAATGCCTTCAATAATATCTTCCACGTACACAATCTTGCCCTCTCTGATGAGAGGAATCATCATCTCTAAGAACTTGGGGTAGAGGTGGTAATGATCATTCACCAGAAACCCTTCCATGCGGACTTGTTTGGTCACAAGATTCATCAGATGGTTCAAGCCTTCAGGCTCTTCACGGTTGTACTGTGAAATCATTCCACACACTGCAATTCTGCCATGGGTCTTCATGTTGCGCAACGCTGCATCCAGCATCTTCCCTCCAACGTTATCAAAGTATATATCAATACCCTCTGGGAAATACCTGAGAGATAAACATGAGATATGAGATAATGGATTACTTATATGAATTGAGTCTAGATTATCATTCATATTCCATTCCAACATAACTTGTTAAAATCTCCCCAAAAGCATGAATGATTTAAATGAATATACCAACAGATTTTTCTGGAATTAAGTCATTGTGGGATTCTCGGGTGTTCGAATTTTGAATTTGTATAATTTCCGCCCATGATGAGTAATAAGTGGGATTTGCAATAATTCTGGTTATAATGAGTTGACCGAAATCTAATATTAATTTCTGGTAGATAACTTAAAAGGAAAACACTTCCTCATTATAATAACAATTATTTTAATCAACATATTTCCTACATTATAAGGCGAATTAATACTCACTGGATCTTCCTTTTATACAGAGACCTCCCTTCACTATAAATAATGCTCAGGGGCTAAAGGTAGAAGCATCTTAGAGTTAACAGTTCTCTAGTTCACTCTTCATCTCCCTCTCTTCTCTTCGATGCATCTACTGTGTACTATAATTTAAACTTTAGTACTCTAAACTTGTGTGTGTAGTCAGGTACATTTTGCTATGCTCGAATTTGATAAGACTCTAACCTGACTTATTTATATGGTTTATTATTTATCTAATTTTCCCTTATGGGGTAGACAGGCCATAGTCAAAAAATAGCGGCTATAATTCAAGATGAAGGATTTCAGAGTTCAAGCCACCGGGACGCCTATGACAGCAATGTTTTGAACAGAACTGATTCAACTCAAAGTCAAATGGAACCCAAACCTTCCGTAATGCAACACAGCATGTGTTATGAGAAAATATTTAACCACTAACCTTTTCAAAGTACCATTCAAGTAGAATTCTGTTTTGTAGTTGAAAGCGTCATCAAACCCAAACTTGCTCTTTAGCAAGTCAACCTGTATTACAGAATCGATCAAGAGATTGAACTATAACGAATAAATTTAAAGAAGAAATAAATAATGATGATGCAATTCCATGAGTTCCACACAAATTGAGAATAAATCATGTAGTTTGAAACTTCATTTGCACATTTTACAAAAGTATGCTTTTGTGATTTTGCAAACACTGGTTAGACTACCTTGCAATTAACTACAAAACTTTTAAGATTCAAGTCATCTTACCTTATCTCGGCTTCCTGCACTTCCAACAACATAGCAACCCATCAGCTTAGCGAACTGTCCAACAAGCTGACCTACCGCTCCAGATGCAGATGATACAAATACTTTCTCTCCTTTCTTAGGGGCACAAATCTCATAGAATCCAGCATAAGCAGTCAACCCAGGCATACCTGCACGTAATGATTATGTTGTTGGTACTTGGTGGAGCTTCAAGAAACAAGAAGAATCAAACAAAAAAGAAACATAACTTCTCTTCACACACCAATATATACATGCCTATTCCACTTCTTCCTTTATCAAAAATAGATTAATATGAAACAATATAAAAGAGGTAGGTAAGTGATATGCATATAATAGAAACCATCAGAGATTTAATATGTGTGATTTTTGTCAACAGGTATATGATGTTTAGAAGTCCGTGTCATCATAATTGATTTTTCAAACTTTTTTCGAAAGTTATAACCTTATTCAAGAACCTAATAACAATATATAAAGCCGCATCTAAGTCTAATGCTTTGCTTTCTACCTTACTATCGGCAAAATTGATTTAAGCATAAATTATAGAAAAGCATTCTGGGGTTGTCTGTTATTCTGTTGGATATTGATGTCCAATCTCCAGCAGAAGCACAGATATCAATGGAAAATAAGTTAGATCACTACCTATTTTTTGTGTAGCCTAGGCGAACTAGTACTCATCTGGAAAACATAGTTCTACTCCCCTCTGACCTTACCCCATGTACACAGACAAATGGGAAAACAGCTCACCAAGTATCCCAGTATAATATGAAAGAGGAAGATCTGTATGTTCTATCTTAAACAGGGACTCCGGCGAACTGATCACACTATATTCTTCCCACCCAATAATTCCCCAGACCAGATCACCTTCTCTGAAGTTGTCATGCCTAGAATCAATAACCTTTGAAACTCCAAATCCGCTCATGAGCTGTGGAAGTTATAACAACAAATATCGTTAGTTAGACTAAACACGAAAACAACTTGAAATGAGAAGACTGTACACTGTAATCGTCTATTCTAAACATAAACTTTCGAATTATCAAAATTGACAATGACATATCCAAAATAGTTATGTACTATATCAGTCTTGATTCAAGAAATCGAACCGTAGAAAGTGACAAACATGCATAGAAATAGTACGGTATATGTTTTATATAACACGATAAGTGAGATACCCATAAAATGAGACATTCGTAACAGGTTTATCAATAAAAGCATCAAACAAAATTAATTTGGAGGCTTCAATGCAAAGTAAATGGCAATCCTCATTTTGATTTACAGCACGAAGATTTGAAAAAGTCTCAAAATGTACTATACAATAGTACAAATTCGACACAATACCGGTTCGTCTCCTTTATCTATCTTAGGGAATATCGCTGAATTCCGACGAATGAAAACTGATCAGGAAGTCGTATTAATGATTATAATAAAAAAATTTAATATGACATTCTGATCGATTGTTTAATGAGACGTTACAATTTAATGCGAAAAATTGACAATAATCCAAACACGAAAGAAGAGTGGAATGGAGAGAGTGCCCACCGAACCAGGCTGAAAGGAATCAATGTAAGAGCGAAATAATGGTTTGGACATACGGCCTCGCATGTAGGGATCACAAGAAAGATAGATATTCTTCACTAAAACGCCATTGGAATCTTCGGGAAGCTTCAATTTGACAGAGGAAGTTTCAACGAGCATGTCGGTCTCCTCGAGAGTGCCAGAGACGAAGTCCTTGAGTAGCACCTTCTTGTTCCGGATTCTTCCGGTGTCGAAACCCGCCAACGTGAGCATCTGACCGTCGTCGCCGCCCTCGCTGCGATGAGCTTTTCGGGAATAACTGTCACAAAGCAACAGATTCTGGAGCTTTCCGTTACCTCTTCTTTTCGCGATCGCGTGGCTTGGCAAATGCAAAATGCATGGACGTTAAATGACGTACTTTCTTTTTAATTTTAATTATTCTAATTTAATATTTTATTTTAAAAATCTAAATCCTTTACCTTATATAAACAACAAAATAAGAGAAACATTACCATCCTAGTGAAAGGGATTCTGTTGGTAAAAAAAAAAAAAAAAAGACAAACAAACGAAAAAAGGCCGCTTAAACTTGAGATTTTGAGTCCGAGTTTACATAAATGCAGAAAATATTTTTGAAATAATTAGTCTAATTGAGATGGATAATGCTCGAGTCTAATCCAATTAAATAAACATATAAAAAAATGAGAGAAACATTTGTTAAATATCACAAACTTTAATAAATATTGTTTATTATTGAATTTGGTGAAATTATATGAGAACATAAGAGCTAACAGAAAATTAGTTTCAATGCTTATCATATAGATGAGCATTAAGAGCTCATCGCCTTTGGACAGTACAAATCTAATCTGAGTGGTCTAGATTTATTTCTTTTTTTACTTTTATTTCTTTAAAAAATTATTTTAATAGATACAAAATTTAAAATAAAAGTTTTTTAATTGTCAGTTTTTTTTAAAAAAATTAAAAACCGCCAGTTGAAAAACTGTAAATTTAGATCATGAAAATTAACTTAAATGATTCAGAGGTGATGAGCTCTCAATACTCATCACACAGACGAGTACTAAAACTAATTCTGAACTAATAATGATTTGTAAATTTATATGAAGTTTGTTGAAGTTTGTTTTTTTAAAGGGGGGAAAAAAGATTATATATTTTATAACAAAATGAGAAAAAAAACTAAGAAGAACTTCATAGAAATTCATAGGAAAGTAGTTCAAAAAACTTATTTCAATAGAGTTTAGAGGCAAAATTCAGAGAATATAGATTCTGTTACATCAACACAACGGGGATGTCTTATGCCTTGATTAAGTTCAAATTGAGTCCCTTGAGGGTGAAGGTGAAGCAACCCCAAATATGCACCAACGCCCTATAGCGTATGTAAGATGTAAATGAACTAATAAATAAACCTCACATCACAAATATCCTCATATGCAAAGATGTCTAAAGTCACGTTAACTTGTAATTATAACCGTCTTTAGTTCTCATGTTTGTTTCTTTAGTTTTGCGTTGCACTTTTTGTAGTATAAGGCCATGAATAATCATGCAAAGAGATAAAAGGGCTCACATCATGTTAGAAACTACATAGGGTTTCAACACCCTAAAGGAGGATTATTAAATATTGTAAAATCATAGTTTTTGCCAGATGATTGGTGAGTAAATAGGTTAGTGCAGCTGTTAGTTTCTTTGAACATGTAGTAAAATGTGATCATCCAATTCTCATAACAAAATTTCTAATTTTCCTTATAGTTTTTGAGAAGGGATGATTATCAAAGAAACTGTACTAAATAAGCAGCGAAGTTTCCGCGTAGTAAGAGTAGACATTGATTTTTATAAGTTTATTGTTATAACAAAGATCATAGCCTTTCAAGATATGCAGGAGTTCTGTTGCTATGCTAAGATAGTAACAAAGATGTTTGAAGAACACTTTAATCTAGTTCCATCATTATCGCAGATGACGCCACTACAAACAACCAGCCCATTTACTAGCTCTGCTACTTCTAACCGGCTTCATAAGTTCTTTACCGTTGCTTGAACAAAATCTGAATGCTATCTTTCTATTTTGTATTTAGCTTATGTAACTTTTGCAGTTATATCTACCACCATTTGCAATGCAATCATGTAAAAATAGTCGTATAGTACCTAACAGTACGAGTTTAATTCGTTAGACGAGATCTTATATCAAGACATCAAAATAAATCAAAAGCTTCTCATTATAAACCAAGCCAGATATCTGCCTCACTTCTGATGCAAGATGACAAAGCAGGCTCCCAATCACAAGCTTGTCTAACTTCTGAAAAATTAAATCTGGACCCTGTTTCTTTCTTACAACACTAGAGGCCCAAAACTATTTTCTAGAGGATTTTACACACCTTATTTTTTTCTACTTCCTTCTCTTAATATACTGCTTACCATGAAATATTTGATATAGAGGATGCAGAGTCATTGTGGAGCAACCGCTATAACTTGTTTGCCGACATTACGGCCAGAGAAGAGGCCAACGAGGGCTGAAGGGCCACTCTCAAGGCCTTGAGCAATGTCTTCCACATAAACAATCTTGCCCTCTTTGATCTGTGGAATCATCATCTCTAAGAACTTTGTGTAAAGATGGTAATAGTCGAAAGACAGCAACCCTTCCATTCGAATCCGTTTGTACACAAGATTCATCAGACTGTGTACACCTTGAGGCTCTTCAAGGTTGTACTGTGAAATCATTCCACACACAGCGATTCTGCCATGGATCCTCATGTTGAGTAACACTGCATCCAGCATCTTCCCTCCAACATTCTCAAAGTATATATCAATTCCCCCGGGAAAATGCCCGCCAAATTAACACATAATGTGGTAAAAATTAAAGCGTCATAAGATAACGATATGTCTTCTCCCTTATTTAGCTATTTCTGCTTAAGTTCAATGGCTATTTGGATGTTTGAACATACAAGAAAATGAACAAATATAAATAAAAGGGAAAATTACACAGAGATCCCTCAAAAGATTTTTTTTTTATCTTCCAAAATATCTCTACAGTCAGCAATCATGAGACTAATCTTTCGAGGAATCTGAACGCCATTCAAGGTGTTATCCTCTTTTGAGTGATGTTTTTCCATACACATCTCCATAAATCAAACCCTAAAATAATGCTTAAGAGGCTTAGACCGCTACTATTTGTACTACACCTAGTTGATTCCCTTAAAAGAATTCTAATTACCAAAATGTCCAATGAAATGTAAAAATAGTTCTAATGTGGTTACTAGAAATGAATGGAATGAAATAGATTAAAAAAAAATCAAAACAAAAATGAACTAAATCTTCCTTTTCTCGCATGGTAAGAATGATAAAACTCATTAATATATACTATATAAGTGGAAGTCATATCACCTTCCAAACATGTTATGAATCATGATTTTCAACCCTATAAACTAAAGTAACCCTCTCCTTTATGAACATGGTCATCCCTTTTGATCACCTTATTTTTACCTTTGTTTTTTCAATCTATTCTATTTCATTCTTTTTTAATAACCAAACGAAACCTAAGTCCTATAGGGATTAATTGCAAATAAGTTTTAGTGTATATTGACCAAAATGCTCTTATTTAAAAAAAAAAATCTTCGAACGGGAGCTAGTGTCGTTCATTGGCTGACTGCTGAACCATTAGCTCCGTCCACTACTAATCACCGGCTCGAAAGAGAGGAAGTAGTGGGACCCATTGACATTGACCCATGCATGTTCCATCTCTTCGCTCTCTCCACAAATTCTCTTATTCAATGTTATGAGTTCCACATTAGGAGCCTCACAAGTACAGTGAGATTTGTAAATTTAAGGGATTCTCCCAGCTAATGGCAAAACTAGCATCAATATTAAGGGAGGCCAAAAAAATGTAATAGAAAATAATTTACATATAATCATATAGTATATGAAGAAAATTAAAAAAAAATGATAAAGTGCAATTATATGTTCCTTCCAATTTTATTTATAATTCATTTTTAGTATATTTCATCAAATTCTATGGAAATCTTAAAATTTATTAACTTGGTTTAAAAATTTAATAACTTTCAATTTTTCTTTTATTAAACATGCTAACATTTAATAAGGGTAAAAGGATATAACAAAAAGTCGATGATATACCTTGTAAATAGAAACAAAAAATTCTTCTCTTTTTAAAGTTATAAATACGATTACAAGACATACAAAATATGATAGGCAACACTCTTATTAAAAATTTGTAGTTTTGAAAAGACTCATATACTTAGCCTTATATATACTTAGTTAATATATTTATATCTAGTCAAATCATGATTAGTGGATCTTATTATGTTAACTAATTAACTAAATTAATAATAAAAATTCATTACAGTATAAATAATCCATAAAAGACATGCCTTAATTTAATTGGAAACAATTATATTAAAGGTGTGTTTGGGTAAACCACATTTCACATTTAGGAAGAACTTTCTAACATCTGAGATGTGAAAAGCTATTTAGGTATCAAATGATTGAAAAAATGCGCTTTCGGAAAGTACTTCCTTAAGTGATTTGAATGTAGATGTGCGAAAGTAACTTGAACTAGGATTTGAAAAGTGAGATATTATTTGACCATATTACCCTTTTAATATATTATTCTTTTATTTAAAACATATTGTTAATTTATTAAAAATATAATTATCAATTAAATAATAATTATCATTAGAGATAAAGTTTTTAGCATTATATATTAAATAATTAATTTTGTCAATTTTTAGCGTTGATGTATATTCAACTATTTATATATTTTTTGTCCAATACATCAAATATTATATTTTATACTATTATTAATTTATATATCAATTTTTATGTTATTTAGATTTTTTATTAACCAACAAATGTTTGTCCAATTAGTTAAATATTTTTTTGAATGAAAAAATTTATCATATATATCTTTTTAATCATGTTAATTTCCAATATTAATATATGTTGAACTATTTATTACATAATTTTTTTCAATATATCAAACTTTATATTTTTTATTTTTACTATTTAACATATTAAATTTTATGGTATTTAAAATTTTTATCATATTTTTTAAATATTTTAAATATATTACATTTGTATAATAAAAAATATAAATAATTATAAATCAATGTCTTTTTAGTAATTATATATTCAAAAACACATTTCATTATTATAATTCAAACAATTTTCAATTTACTAAACTGACATTCAAAAAACAATATCTAAATATAAATTTCATTATAACAACTAACTTTCACTAAATTGACTCTTGTCAAATAAACTTTCAACAAATAGACTTTTGGCAAATTGAAAACCAAACACACACTAAGTATATAAGGCTAAGTTTACAAGTTTTATCCAATCTTATTCTAAAGTAAAGTTCATACCTTATTACCCTTTAAGTACCACATCAACAATACCTTATTGCAATGCCACATTAACCATCAAATACAACTTTCCATAATTGTATAATATTATATGTGAATAGGTGAAGGGAAACCTGGAAATTATTATTTCTAATAGAATATGTCTTGCAATTTCCCATATATACATATTGAAGTGGTAGAACTTTAAGGGGGGCCATAGCCCCCTCCAAGTAAGACGCAGTTCTGCCATTGCTCTCACTCAACAAACTAGTATTTTGGGATGGCTCTTTCTTTAGACTTATGCTCATAGCATTAAAAAAAAATATCACCTCTTGAATTTCTCCTTCACCAAAAAGAATATCACATCATTACTTGTGCTTATAGCAAGATTTGAGTAGTATTGATGCAATTCTAATAGAAATGGAGTCTAAACTGATGCCAAATGAAACACAATCTATATCATAAGAAAACAGATAACCACAAACCTTTTCAAAGCAGCATCCAAGTCAGTTTCCTCTTTGTAGTTGAAAGCCTCATCAAATCCAAGCTTGCTCTTAAGCAGGTCAACCTGTGTTACAGAGGTGATCAAGGAATGGACACTAACAAATATATCTAACAAATAATGCATGGTAATGAGTACCACCAAAATTGTGAATAAACCATGTGATTTGAAATCTCGGTAGAATGCAGTTTTTGCAGAAGTAAGCTTTTGAGAGTTTTCAATAGGTGGGTAGACTGCTCCTAAATAATTATAGAATTTGACCACTAGGTATTTGGATCAACTAGCTAGGAGATTAGTCTAGCTTAAACAGAGGTCTCGAATTCAAGTCTGAGTGCGCAACAATTAGAGGTATATCCTTCAAAGAGGTGCCTACAAGTTGCCAGCCAGATTAGTCTTGGTCAAATGCCTAAAATATCTGCCTACACTCGAGGTAATCAAGATTTCTCTAGCATTCATGAATTCTTCAGGTACGCATGAATTACTTTATTCTATCATATTTTATTATACAAATGAATTGAGATATTCAGATTCAACACGTGGCATCAGAGCCTTGGTAACGAATTTTAAATTTATATATCTCAATTCTTCTAATGACATATATTGATAGAAATTTATCTTATACTGATAATTTCTTATATTCATATTATTCAAAAAAAAATGAGTATGAATATAAGATTTGAATATGAAATTTTTTTTTTCAAATCCTGTCATATTTATGATGAAAGCACACACAAAAAAAAGGAGCTCGCTGGAGATTTCCTCCCTTCGTGGTTCACGTATTGTTGGACAGGGATCGCGGCATCTTCCTATTCCTTTTTCACGAGATATGCTGGCTGGTTCATGGCACTGGGCAGTCGCCGTACGTTTTTTTTTTGTTTCTGCCACAGCTGCCACCGGTTCCCCTCCCGACGGCGTTATCCTCTCCAGCAGCTAGAACTCCTACACGCCGGCGACTTCGCCCCTTCTTCCTCGTTCCTTCTTGCGCGGCAGTCACACACGTCTCGCCTAATGAATAGCCACCGTGAAGGTGCCGGCATCGTGGTGGGTGGCTGCCGCTCCATGGACGTCGGTGTCGTAAGGGTGGAACAGCCATGAACGCCGGCGCCCCTTCTTCCTCGTTCCTCTTGCGTGGCAGCCACAGACCCAGGAGACAGGGTCAGAAACCGGATCCTAGGGATCCGGTTTCCTAGGTAATGGGCCGATATTTTGTTTGGGCCCAGATTCATTATTAAAAAAAAAATTATTTCTGTTAATTGCGTTTCGGCCCCAGTTTTAATTACATCCTTTGGCCTAAAATTTATTGAATTTACGAATTAGGCCCATGATGTTTCTGTAAATTACAGTATAGTCCCTTAACTTCCAGAATTGCAATTTTAACCCAAATCTCTTCCAGAATTACTTATTTGCCCCTGATTACCTTTTAAAATTTCACTTAAGTATTGGATTCGTTTTCTAATTCCCAAAAGACCCTAAGGAGTTTTAAAATTATGTTGTTTTGTCCTAAGGTCATAAAATTTGTGACTTTATGAATTATTGATGATGCTTAGGATCTTGTAGCATAGATAATGGACATACCCCATAGGTGTGACATTATTAATGTGATTTTGATGGTTGGCTTTAAGAATAGGCTAATAGCACTCATTTAATGTATTAGATATTTATTGTACCCTATAGGTATGGAAATGTTTAATGCATTATTTTGTATGGACTTTTGTGTGAGCTAAATCTTTATGGTATATGAGCCTTCTTGGTGCATGGTTATAGTTGCATAATTGATAATCGCTTGTTGGGAATTCTGTTTTATAATTATATTGTGCACGCATAATTAATATTTCCCATTTTATGTTTTACGATTTCAGTTTCTGCTTTTACGCAACTATCCTTTGTGAAGGCTCTTAATGGGACTAACTATGATGACTGGAAAGAGTCCCTCAATATGTATCTGACCATTTCTGAGAAAGATTTAGCTCTGAGAGAGCCCAAGCCTGCGGATCTCTCTTTCGAGTCTAGTGCTTCTGAAATAGCCTTCCATAAATAATGGAGTGAGTCCAACCGGATCTGTCTAGCGATCATCAAGTACACAATTGAAAAGGGAATTAAGGACAGCATTCCTGAAAATGATACTGCAGTGGAGTACTTGAAGGCTATTGGTAACAAATACAAGAAGCTTGACAAGACTCAAAAGAACTACTATCTATCACTTCTTGCCAATACTCGATATGACGGAGTTTCTGGTGTCAAGGAGCACATTCTGAAGTTTGTTCCTTACTATAACAAGCTTAAGTCATATGGGATTGATTTGGATGAAAGTACCTTAGTTTACTATGTTCTTCAATCACTACCACCAGAGTACGCATTCTTGAGGACTTCATACAACTCACAAGAAGTTGAATGGTCTGTTGACCAGATGATATTGATAGTCACTCAAGAAGAGGAAGCTATAAAGAAGAATTCCTCTCACTCAATAAACTATGTTTCTCATGGCTTTAACAGCAAAACTGGAGGGTCATATAAGAAAAAAGGGGAAGAAGCATGATGCCTCAAAGCCTAATAATCCAACCTTTAAGAAGGATGGTGATAAGAGTGAGAAGTCGAGGAAGAAACCCTTTAAAGGGTTATGCAATTATTGCAAGAAACCGGGTCACATTAAAGCTAATTGCTTCAAATTGAAGAATAAACAAGAAAGTGAAGGTACAACTCTTCAAACTGCCCCTCTAGCTCTAGTTTGTTTTGAATCTAACACCATTGAAACTTCCTTTGACTCATAGTGGCTGGATTCTGGTGCCACTGTACATGTTGTGAATTCTCTACAGGGGCTAAGAAACCAGAAGGTTCCAAGTGAGGTACAGAGGTCAGTCTTTGGCATAGCAAGGAGCAAGGCATCGGTTGAATGCATTGGAACTATTTCTTTGTATTTAAATTCTGGTCATGTTTTACATTTGAACAATGTTGTTTATGTACCTTCTGCGAAGAGGAATTTAATTTCAACTTCTGCATTAGATATTTGTGGCTATTCATTCTTCCAAGGAAATGGGAAAATTGACATTTATTTTGATTCCATTAATGTTGGTGTCGCTTCCTTGATATATGGTTTATATCGATTGAATAATTGGTCACTTGAACTTCCTAATCTTCATGTCAATGCTGCTATTGGGCATAAACGTCAAAGGCCCAATGATAATTCCTCTATGTTATGGCATCGTCGTTTGGGTCATATCTCTAGAGAGAGATTGGAACGCATGATCAAGCAAGGCGTCTTACGAGACCTTAATTTCTCAGATTTTGAGACTTGTGTTGACTGTATAAAGGAAAAATTCCCTGCTAGAGCTAGAACCAAAGGGGCAAAGAGGTCTGAAAATACTTTAGACCTAATCCATACTGATATCTGTGGACCTATCACGCCTCCGGCTATGGGTGGTTTCAGATATTTCATCACCTTCACGGATGATTACTCTCGTCTTGGATGGATTGAACTCTTGCGTGAAAAGGGCGAGTCCCTTAATGCATTCAAGACCTTTAAAGCAGCAATCGAATTGAAATCTGGCAAGTTGATCAAGTGTGTGAGATCTGATAGAGGAGGAGAATTTTATGGGAGATATACTGAGACTGGTAGGAACCCTGGGCCATTTGCTTTGTACCTTCAAGAGCATGGCATTGAAGCTCAGTATACTATGCCTGGCACCCCGCAGCAAAATGGGGTTGCAGAAAGGCGAAATCGTACTCTCATGGATATGGTTAGGAGCATGATAAGTCACTCCTCACTGCCGGAATTCTTGTGGGGTGATGCACTCAAAACTGCTGTTTATATTTTGAATCAAGTTCCCAGCAAGTCAGTTCCAAAGACTCCATATGAGTTGTATTTTGAAAGGACTCCTGCGCTGAAGCATATGCGAGTTTGGGGTTGTAAAGCACAGGTAAAACCTTACAATCCACAACAGATGAAGCTTGATGCTAAAACTGTTGATGGTTTCTTTATTGGCTATTACATCGAATCTCGTGGGTACAGATTCTATTGTCCAAATCACACTACTAGGGTAATTGAATCTGACCGAGCTTACTTCTTTAAAGATGCCTTAGACAGTGGGAGCTCTGTGCCTAGGCATATTACCTTGCATGACGAAAGTAGCATTTTGCCTATGCCTATCTTGACAACTCCTCATGTTGACAGAAATAATGCCGTGGATCAGAATGAAGCTCAAGATGAACCACCTTTAGAGGATGATAGGGACATGGTTGTTGAACCGAGACGGTCCCAAAGGGTTCGCAGGTCTACTATTCCAGATGATTACATGGTATATTTGCAGGAATTTGATTCAGATGCTATTGATAGCTTAGACCCAATGTGTTACCAGGAGGCTATTTCTAGCTCGCATTCTTCTGAATGGTTAGAGGCTATGAGTGAAGAAATTGCCTCTATTTACCGCAATCACGTATGGGAGCTAGTAGAGCTACCAAAGGGGTTTAAACCAGTGGGTTGCAAGTGGGTCTTTAAAATAAAACGAGGAGCTAGGGGTGAAATTGATAGATATAAAGCCAGACTTGTAGCTAAAGGCTACAACCAAAAAGAAGGTATTGATTACACAGAAACCTTCTCTCCGGTATCCACCAAAGATGCTTTTAGAGTGGTAATGGCTTTAGTTGCACAGCTTGATCTTAATCTTCACCAGATGGATGTCAAGACTGCGTTCTTGAATGGCGATTTGTATGAAGAAGTCTACATGACACAACCTGATGGTTTTGTTGAATCCGGTAAAGAACATCTAGTGTGCAGATTAAAGAGATCCATCTATGGGCTAAAACAAGCCTCTAAGCAGTGGTATTTGAAATTTGATGAAGTTATCACCTCTCTCGGTTTTGTTGAGAATGTCTCAGATCAGTGCATCTATCAAAAGTTTGATGGGAACAATTTTGCCATTCTTGTTCTCTATGTTGATGATATCTTATTAGCCAGCAATTCAATAAATTTTCTCAATGAGATAAAGCACCTATTGTCTTGCCATTTTGACATGAAGGATATGGGTGAAGCCTCCTTTGTTCTTGGGATACAAATTCATCGTGATAGATTTCGTGGTATTCTTGGTTTATCACAGGCCACTTACATTGAGCGGGTACTTAAGAGATTCAAAATGGATTCATGTTCTCCTTCACCTGCTCCTGTACAGAAAGGTGAGCTGTTGTCAAAGTCACAGTGTCCCAAGGATGATAAGAAGAGGGCTGAAATGAGAAAGATACCATACGCTTCCGCTATTGGCAGCCTTATGTATGTTCAAGTGTGTACTCGACCAGATATAGCCTTTGCCATTGGAGTGTTGGGTCGATATTTAAATGATCCAGGTCTGGATCATTGGAAGGCTGCTAAGAAAGTTATGAGGTATCTTCAAGGTACAAAAGATCATATGTTGACTTACAGAAGGTCAAATTCTCTTGAGGTTGTTGGGTATTCTGATTATGACTTTAAGGGATCAGAAAATCTTGAGATTGTTGGCTTTTCAGATTCAGATTTTGCCTCTTGTCTGGATGATCGTAGATCCACGACTGGCTATATTTTCATGTTGTCCGGAGGAGCTGTCTCTTGGAAGAGTGTGAAACAGACACTTACGGCAGTTTCATCTATGGAAGCTGAGTATATTGCTTGCTTTGAGACTACATGTCACGCTATATGGCTGAGGAAGTTGATATTTGGCATGCACCTAGTTGAGTCAATATCACGTCCTCTAACCATTTATTGTGATAACAAATCTACATTATACTATGCTAACAATCACAGAAATTCCAATCGTACAAAGCATTTTGATATCAAACTTATGTTTGTGAAAGAGAAAATTACTGAGTCTCAAACCCGTGTGGTACACATTCCTGGCACGCAGATGCTTGCAGATCCACTGACTAAGGGCTTACCTGTAGAAGTTTTTCAAAATCATGTAACTTGTATGGGTATTGTGAATTCCTTTGATGCCCTAGTTTAGTGGGAATTTGAGAACCTTTTATGTTGCAATTTCTCTTTAGGCTTTGTTTTCTTCTGTGAATTATGTTCAGTTCAGTTAGATGCGTCTATATCATTTGTATCCCTATAGGATTCAATGATTCTGTTATGGTACACTATGCATGTCACTTGTTTCCCCATAGGAATCAGTGATTTATGTTGTTATCTTACTGAGCTGTGTTTGAAATAAAATTTCATGTTTTACTCAAATTATGAGATATCATATCACTTGTTTCCCCATAAGATTCAGTGATTTTGTAGAGTTTCATTTTCTGAATTTGTTTGTGGCATGTTTATACAACTTGCTTAATTAATGCAATCCAAGTGGGAGATTGTTGGAATATTATTTATGAATTAGCATTAATTAATAAGCCCAATAAATTGGTCCTTATGATCTTGTGTGGACCGTGATAGGTGGACCACACAAGTGAGCCCAATGGGTAGAGGCCCAACCCACAACCCAGTAGCCGTCAGTTATTTCCTATCTCTTAACTGACTGAGTCAGAGATAATAGATAATATAATTATTTAATTATTTAATAAGGCAGTTACCGAACTGATCTATATAAGACGATTAGTCGGTAACCGCAAACACACAACTCATTTCTCTACTTTCATTATCTCTGAACTCTCTGAAGGCTCTGGGGACCAATGGGTTGTATATCTGCCTACACTCGAGGTAATCAAGATTTCTCTAGCATTCATGAATTCTTCAGGTACGCATGAATTACTTTATTCTATCATATTTTATTATACAAATGAATTGAGATATTCAGATTCAACATAAAATACCAGAGCGAAAAGCAATATACAAAATTTAATCATACGAGTGATCTTTTTTTTAGTGAGAGACTAGGAGCATTCATCAGTGTCAGCAAAGACTAATCGCCTGGAAATACAGAGGGCACAAAGTAAACCTCACTCAACTAGATTTGCTGCATATGCTGAAATTATCTTTACATACCTTTTCTTTGCTTCCGGCACTTCCGACAACATAGCAACCCATCAACTTAGCAAACTGACCAACAAGTTGACCTACAGCTCCAGATGCAGCTGATACAAATACAGTCTCCCCTTTCTTAGGGGCACAAATCTCATGAAATCCCGCATATGCAGTCAAACCAGGCATACCAACATGTTATGTTCATGTTGGTCGGTACTTTACAAATAAAGTTTTAAGCAAAAACAAATGAAAAACAAAGATAATTATGGATGGTTATAGTAATTTGAGCGAGGTCACAAACCTCTGTATGTGAAGGGTGTGTGACAGTAATTTTTTATGTTAAATTAATTAGTTGTGGCTGGGAAAAAAACTTATACTTTTTTATAAATTTTTCACAAATTAACCATGGCAAGTATACAAATTTCTATCAATTGACATGCCGATTTTAAGTTTTCACAGATCAACATCACATGGTTGGGATTTTTCAAATAACTTTACACACAATATAATTTTTTCAAGGAATCTAATAACAAGTCTAGTCCTTTGTTTACTCTTATAATTTTATTGAAGAACCCCATAACAAATGCATTAGAAGAAAAAAATTGCATCTAAGTCTGATCCTTTGTTTTATCAAATGCTATCAGAAAAATTGATTTTAAGATTGGAAACCATTCTTGGGCTTCCCAAGATCCCAGCAATACAAATATCAATGACATATATATATATATATATATAGAAAGGCCAGCATAATCAATTTTTTTTTTTGGGAATGACATAGCTATGGTTAAAACTTAGCAAGTGTACAAAAACGAATGAAGAAAATAGGTTACCAAGTATGCCAATATAATAGGAAAGAGGGATATCTTTGTGTTGTATCTTAAACAGGGACTCAGGTGAATTGATCACACTATATTCTTCCCACCTAGTTCTTCCGCAAACTAGATCACCTTTGCTCAAGTTTTGATACTTAGAATCAATAACTTCTGAAACCCCCATTCCATTTATCGGCTGTGAAATTACACAAATATATATATGTATATGATAGTATATCATTAGCTACTCTTGATAGGAAAGCATGCAGATAAGAGTAATACATGGCTTCAGGAATATCAAAACGATACGCACAGATTCAGGAAAACTGAGCAGTACGTAGCAAAAAGTAGGATAGATCATCGGTCCATACAGGGGGGAAACAATAATTAATCTTAAATGACTCGGCTAGTTAATTAATTCACATATATTGTGAAAAATTAGGTAAATTAGTTATTTGTAAAAATGTGGGCTCATTATCCCTCATCATTTACTTTGGAGAATTATTAACAAAGCTTACATGCAAGAATCCAGTAGTTTAGGAAAAAAAAAAACAATAATAATTCTCCTGGTCCTTAATATAAAGCAACCTTAACCAATTTAATGCTCATTAAGAAATCATATTTATATCTTTAAATTTCTTTAAAAAATACTAACTCCATTCCAATTTATAATAAAACATTTTCTTACAAAATTACACATATTAATAAAGTTCATTAAACGTAGTATACATTACAACCTTAATATTTCTATAAACTTTCAAAAATAACATTTATTGATAAGAGTGAGGGAAAAAATTATTTGAGCAGTGAAATAATGAGGATTAATATTAGAATAATTATAACTAAGAAAACCTTATTTTTATCAACACGGATTATATTTAAAAATGTCTAATAAATTGCAAGGGAAGGACTATTTAACTTTTTAAATTTTGCCCCATTTTGCAAATAATAATTATATTAAAAATTAAAAAATAATTAATTACTCTAACTTATTAGCATTAAGGAGGGGAAAAGCTTTCAACATACAGGGATTGGCTCTTACATTTGGGTTTAAAACAAACCTAAATGTAATAAACTACGAATTTCTTTCCATTATTTCCCCAAAAAAGCTACTATACGAGGGTTTTGGGATAAACAATGTCAATTTCATATGGATAACAGACAATAATTCAAATTAAAACAGGAGTGTGAAATTTAGAGAGTACCAACCGAACCAGGCTGGAATGAATCAATGTACGAAGGACGCAATAGTTTGGACATACGGATTCGCATGTAGGGATCGCAAGAAAGATAGAGATTCTTCACTAAGACGCCATTGGAATCTTCGGGAAGCTTCATATTGACAGAGGAAGTGGTGAAGAGCATGTCGGACTCCTTGGGAAAGCCAGTGACGAAGTCCTTGAGTAACACCTGCTTATTCCTGACTTGCCCGCCGTCGATGACATTCGCTGCCATCGTTCACCTTCTCGCCGGCGCCACTACAACTCTGAGCTATCCACAGTTCCACACCCACACTGAGAGTATCACAGTCACGAACCATAAACGTTGTGTTACTTTACTTTCCCTTTCTCTCACCTGGTCACGCTGGCACATCAATAGCCTCTCGCTCTCGCCTCGTTTATAGAAACGTCAAAAATCACTATAAAAGGCAACATATAACTTAACTATCACCAACACGCGCACGTGTGTTATGAAATTAATTAATTAATACTTATAATTGAGTTATTAAACTAAATTAAATTAAATCAAATTATTATTAACTAATCCTTGTATTTTAAAACATGCAATTCCAAAGACAGATCTAGACGTTAATGAACAGGTGTATCAAAAAAAAAGTTAATGAATAGGGGATTTACTTGAAAATAAAATATGGAATAGGGGGCAAAATCTATTTTAAAGACTTTTTCAAGAAAAAGTTTTACCTTTTGCTAAAGGAAGATTTAAGTGTGGGGGGAGCCTTCTTGCTCCCTTGCTAAAAGCAGTCCTTAACTCATCTTTCATGTCATGAAGGCTTGTTTATTATGGTGAAATGATTTTTCATGAAAATGAAAATGAAATGAATGAGAATGAGTTTGAGAGAATATCAATGAAAGGCTTAAAAAAAATTTAATATCTGATAAGAATTTAAATAAATCAGATATTTGTTAAAATAAAAACTTCACTTATTAATTATTAATATTTTTTTGTTAATAATTATTTTATGAAATTAAATTGCTTTCAAAATTTTTCATTGATATTCTCCCGATAATTTTTTAAAACACATTTTGTCATGGATGAACAATGACAAGTGAGGACTAGCAATAGTGAACACATAGTCCTAAGCACAAGATTAGGGAGAGAAGTTGAGCTCAGAGTGAAAAAAAGTCAAAATTAGGGCAAAGTGAGAAATGGTAGGTTGCCCAAAATTTTCATAATCAAAGAGAATTCGGTCACCCAAAAATCCATTCCCAATAAATGAACTCATTTTCATGGTTTACTGACTGTACTGATGGAATGGAGGTTAACTCAAGAGATAATGGGCTCTATTTGAATATACATAAAACATTACAATGAGGCATTTTTTCTTTTATTCTCCTTCAATCACCCCTTAAGGAGTTAAAAGAGCATTTACATGGAACCACATCATTGCCAAGTAAGATTAAAATGCCACATCACCCTGTTCCATGTCACCCTTGCCTAGCCCAGATTTAATCATGCTTCACATTAATCCCAAGGCACTCTGTTTCTAATCTTTTTGTCCGCACCCTCCATTTGTTTTCCAAGCGGAATATTAGCTGGTGGCTTTGTTAGTTATCTTCACCGCACCATGCTATACCTTTTACTCTCGTAAAAAATGAAAATTATGGGCTTGTCTCCAATTTCTTGGCACTCAATTTTAGAGTTAGGAATAGGTCGGGTTATATGGGTTGGCCTGAATAATTAATAATAAAGGTCAAGTTGGGTTGGAAAAAGCTTAACCAAAATAAAAATGAATTTTTCTGACTCGGATCATATAACTTATAAATCATATAGGTTAACTTTGATGGGTTAGTGTTGGCTCATTTAATTCATATTATTTTTAAAACAATTAAAGATAAAAAAGAAAAAAATTTGTATGCCTTGCTTTTAGCATGAAGATATCAAGCGTCATGTTTTTCTATTTACAAGAAGTTCCAGCAACAGAACTTTATCTTGTACATTTGATGAAACTGATTTTGTACTTATTTATCTGCAAATTGAGCACGGCAAGGATGACAGGGAAGCAACGTGATGTGGCATTTTAGTCATGCTTGGTAGTGATGTGGTTTCAATGTCAGCACTCTTCTAACCTTTTAGTTATTACATGCATGGTAGATTAGTTAAAAGCCTGAGTTGCATATATTTTAAAACTATAACAACCAAGTTATGTATTTTAAATTTAGAAACTGAGTTGATAACTCAATCAAACTATAAAGATCAATTAATTAATTTTCCCAATTTAATATTAATATTTCCATAATTATTCATCAATTTAATTTATAAGACAAAATTCACAACAAATTATATTACAACAGGGTAGTTTACCGTCCATACTTTGTACAACGTAAGTCTAATTACTTTCAAGATACTCCATGTATCCAATATTATAAAGTATTTTTAACTAATTTCACACTTTCTTTTGACTAACAATACTAATCAATGCATTAATCAGAATCTTAATCAACAAATCATAATAAATCAGAATCTTCTTGTTTTAAAACATATTACAAAAAACAAGCCAAATATCCGCCTCACTTTGGAGGTCATATAACAAAGCAGGCTCCTAATCACGTGCATGTCTAACTTAGTGAAAATTTAGTATGTTACTATGGACTCTGTTTCTTCCTCACAACACTATATGCATGAAACTATTTACTACAAAGGATTTTACACACATCTAATCCCCCCCCCCCCCTGTTTCTCTTCCTCAAAACACTACGTACAACGAATTATTTGATAGAGGATGCAGAGTCATTGTCGAGCAACTGCTATAACTTGTTTGCCAACATTACGGCCAGAGAAGAGGCCAATGAGGGCTGAAGGGCCACTCTCCAGGCCTTGAGCAATGTCTTCCACATAAACAATCTTGCCCTCTTTGATCAGCGGAATCACCATATCTAAGAACTTCGTGTAAAGATGATAATAGTCAAAAGGCAGGAACGCTTCCCTTCGAATGCGTTTGTACACAAGATGCATCAGATTGTGCACACCTTCATGCTCATCAAGGATGTACTGTGAAATCATTCCACATGCCGCGATTCTGCCATGGATCCTCATGTTGAGTAACACTGCATCCAGCATCTTCCCTCCAACGTTGTCAAAGTATATATCAATGCCCTCTGGGAAATACCTGCCAAATTAAAACATAATAAGATAACAATATGTCTTCTCCCTTGCTTAGCTATTTCTGCTTAAGTTCAATGGCTATTTGGATGCTTAAGCATACAAGAAAATGAATGGATATTAATATAAGGGAAAATGAAAGAAACTGATTCATTAAAGTGGCTAACTTTCTCTATATTGGAAGTTCAAAAAGAAATTTAAATAATCGTAAATAAATAGTCTCTCCTATTTTTCCAAGATTGTAGAAACTTGTCCTGTTTGGTTAGCAAATAAAATAAGCATTCTCTTCTTTTGCATAAAAATAAGGTATACAATATCATAGTCCAAATATCATTGCTTGATCGTAGGAATATTTTTATTATTTTCATTTAAGAACACAATCGAGAAGCAAAAATAAGGAGTACATGTCAATAACTTAATCAATGATGGGACAGAATTATAAGAGAAGGCTTTGAAAAACGTAAAATGCAAACTATAATCTTCCATCTGAACTCACCCTTGAATCTTAACCATAGAATCTTTGGGATAGGACTTTTGAAAGAGAGGGTTAGTGGGACTGTATGTCCCACCTTTTCTCTTCCTCCACCCCCAGAAATTCTCCAGTAGAGAAAAGAATACCACCTCTTGAATTTCTCTTTTATAGAGTCACAGAGCGAACAGAACAAAGAAGAAAGACAGAAATATTTGAATAGTACTAATAAGAAAACAGATAACCACAAACCTTTTCAAAGCAGCATCCAAGTCAGTTTCATCTTTGTAGTTGAAAGCCTCATCAAATCCAAGCTTGCTCTTGAGAAGGTCAACCTGTGTTACAGAGATGATCAAGGGGAAACACTTGCACTAACAAATATATTTAACAACTAATGCATATTCATGATGTACTCACATAATGAGCACCACAAAAATTGTGAATAAACCATGTGGTTCAATCTCAGTAGAGTTGCAGTTTTTGCAGAAGTATGCTTCTGTGATTTTGCAACAAATGGCCAGACCTTGTAGTTAAGTACAAAAGTTAATCGCTTGAGTGAGACACTAGAAGCATTCTTCAGCCGCAACATAGAATAATCTCCCTCTAAATTCATAGGGTAAAAGTAAACCTGACTCATCTAGATTTTCTTCATATGCTAAAACTATCTCTACGTATCTTTTCTTTGCATCCTGCACTTCCAACAACATAGCAACCCGTCAACTTAGCGAATTAGCCAACAAGCTGACCTACAGCTCCAGATGCAGCTGATACAAATACAGTCTCCCCTTTCTTAGGGGCATATCTCATAAAATCCAGCATAAGCAGTCATACCAGGCATACCTGCATGTTATGTTTAGGTTGGTGCTTGTCAAATGAAGCTTTAAGCAAAAACAAATGACAAACAAAGACACTTACTGATGATAGTAGTTATTTCAGTGAGGTCGCAAACCTCTGTAACAATTGGACAAATCGCCCCACCCCTATATATATATATAAAGATCTATTTTCATGATTAATGTATACAAAAGAATGAAGAAAATGGCTTACCAAGTATACCAGTACAATAGGAAAGAGGTACATCTGTGTGTTGCATCTTAAACAGGGACTCAGGTGAATCGATCACACTATATTCTTCCCACCCAGTTCCTCCCCAGACTAGATCACCTTTGCTAAAGTTTTGATTCTTAGAATCAATAACTTCTGAAACTCCAAATCCGCTTATCGGCTGTGAACACAAACGCAAAGACGCATCGTTAGCTACACTTAACAGGAATGCAACTTAAACCAAGAAAGGCTAATAGTTAAAACTGACCACTCAAAGTCTCTTAACTCTAAACATGGTCTTATGTTATGTCGGAAACATGCAGAGAACAGTAATACATAGCTTAAGAAATATCAAAACAATACGCATAGTCACAGATTAAGGAAAACTGAGCAGTATGTAGCAAAAAAAAATAAAAATTAGGATGAATAATCGGTCATACAGGGAAAAAATAATTAAAACTCTTTATAATCTTAAATATATGAAATAGTTAACTAATTCACACACATCAAGGGAAAATTGGGTAAATTAACTATTTATAAAATCTGTGTGCTGGTTATCCTAAAATAATCCCACCTTTTAATCATTTGGATTAAAGAACTATTGGCATAGTTTACATGAGAGAAGATAATAGATATAGAAGACAAAGAAAATTGGGTCTTAAGGTTTAAAACAAGCCAACTAGCTCCTCCCAGAAATGGAGGGAGTAGTAAACTAAGAATTTCTTTCCATTACTACCC